AATATTACTGTATTTTTGATCAAATTAAAGCAGCCTTAGTAAGCATACAAGATTTTTTTTTTCAAAAACATAAAAAGTGTATATATAACATGTAATATTAACACAGTATTTTATTCCTGTGATGGCAAATATTAATTTTTGCATTATTACTCCAGTCTTTATATATATTAATATATAAACAGCTATTTTAAATTGTAATCATGTTTCACAATATTACTGTATTTTTGATCAAATTAAAGCAGCCTTAGTAAGCATACAAGATTTTTTTTTTCAAAAACATAAAAAGTGTATATATAACATGTAATATTAACACAAACACAAGCAAATGTGTATCTGTGTAGGCCTGTACCGTGGTTTGGTCATGTTGTATATTGTACAAAACACAAGAGCAGGTGTTTACATGCCACCATTTGGATGTGGCCACATAATTTCATCAACATGACACCTGAATCTGGTTCCTTGGCCAAGCGGCAGGGGAAGTTGTGCCTAGAATGACAGGCCTCTGGCGGGATGTCATTATAGTCCATGTGGATTGCTTCAAGAAAATATGATATGGGTTTCAATCAATCATTTTCCATTGCCAGAATGAAAAAAAAGAAGCCTTAGTCGGATCTAGAAATGGGGGATAGGTTGAACGTAATGTCATCTGAGAGGACAGAAGGGTGAACTATTGCTCTAATGTAAGTGGTGGACACTGGCTTTGTCCTATATAATAACACAAGTCTGGGCTCCTGCCATTTCTCTTGGGGTGGGAATAGATACAAGACATTGTGGAATTCCAAAAGTAGAGTCACGTTATATGGTCCAGCTGTGAGATGAATGATCCCTTGCAGACCAAAGGGCACGACACATACAGTATTTTTCATTTTGATATATACATTTCACATAATCATGTTAACATTCCAACGTTTAGATTACTTTTTAATTACTTTTATTCAGTAGGGATGCATTAAACTGATCAAAGGGACAGTAAAGATATTCAAAATGTTACAAAATGTTATCTATTTCAATATTTTATTTATTTTTAAATATTTTAATATAATATCGTTTCTAATTTAATATGCTTCTTTTGAACTTTCTGTTCATCAAAGAAGCAATTCAATGAAGTAATTTTCACTGAGATACTCCCAAAGTGTGTGTGTATAAGAAATTACAGTTTTTTACGATTGCTTGCACACTAAAATTAAACTTTTCCAACAATTAGCAAAACCTTACACTCAAGGAGCAAAACACAAGGCTAGATTTGCACAACTGTAAGTCTAAGGTTGAATCCAGCCTCGTCAATGTAAATACATTCATGCAGCTGGGCAGCTCCATCCATGTCCAAGATTCTCTGTAACAAAAAATACATATTGTGGATGGCTTTACTCAAAGCACACACTTACACTACTACATATACAGAACCGACCCACCCCACCACACAGGTGTTGTGCTACTTTGGTGTAGGGTTGTGTTAATTGTGTGTAGTGTTTTGACAAACCGGGCCCTGTTTTCAAAATTGTGCTTAAGCAATCGTAAAAAACTGTAATACTTTATATTTATTTAATTAATACTCTCTTCCAATTTATTAAAGTGACAGTAAAGAATTACAAAAAACAATTTCCACAAAAATGTTAAGAAGCATAACTGTTTTCAACAATGATATTAATAAGCAGCAAATCAGCATGATTTCTGAAGGATCATGTGACACTGAAGACTGGAGTAATGATCTTACAAACTCCAAATTTAAAAAAAGTAAAAGCGGTTCCAAAGTATGTGATGATGAAAAATGTTATAAATGGTATAATTTTTAATTGAATAATGAAAATAGTAAGAGTACATTTATGTGGTAAAATTGATTGTTTTTTTATGGATTTTTATGGGTGCAAAATCTGACTTCACAATTTGACTTTACAAATTTGGTGCATCCTCTTGAAAATGCCATCCCCGAATCTGTCTCCTTTTCCATGATATTCCCATGTGATCTAATGAACAGATGATCAAAGCTGTTTCTGGGACTCTGCTATACGTCTAATGGTCCCTCTACTGTTTAACAGTGTGAAGGAGGAGAATATGAGACAAAGAAGATGGAGGAACATGAAACTGAGACTGTGTGTCAAAGAAAAAAACAAGAGAGAGAGCGATAAAGAAGTAATGCTGAACTAGTGACGTTTGCGTATAAGACAGGAACAAAATGCAATGAAAGTATCCAGTGCATTGAGCAGTGTGTGTGTGTGTGTGTGTGTGTGTGTGTGTGTGTGTGTTCAGACCCTAATTAATCTCCGCACTGCCTCTCTGGAGGGCAAACGCATTAAACACCCAAGATAGGTTGAATTTTTTTAATGATCAATATTGGATCCCATAATTCATGCTTCATTGTTTTTAATTATGTACTTATGTAACCAGTGATGCTTTATATCATTAATTGATACATATTTGATTGTTAGTTAGATAATTATGAGCGATAGATGTTTAATGTGTCCAACATGTTTTGCGATCAGGCTTGATTATTTCTTCATTTGCAGTGGTGTGTGTATGTGTATGCGATAAACAGTGGCTCCTGTGTGTGTTATCTGGCAGTGATTCTTATGAGAAGTGAGACAGTCTTTCACTGAAAGATCCACCACCTGCAGTCTCAGCTGTATGGTGATGAGACACACACACAACCACACATACTCACACATAAGCGCTCTCTCACACATGCACACAATCAACACACATTCTCCTTCACGCACATTGTCTCCGTATCTCACACTCAGGCAAAGCGAGACAAGAAGTGAGAAGAAAGGTGTTTCTTCTTAATTAGGCTTGCATGCACAATCTTATATTTTCTCTCTCTTGACTGGTCTTTTACTCTTGAGTGTTTTTAATACATTCCTTGACATAGTGGCTGACACACACATAAACCCACTCGGGGGATAGATACATAGAGAATTATGGCTGCACTTCTTTGACCTCTCACCTAGCAAGGTGCTGAGTTGCAAGTGTGTGTGTGTGTGTGTGTGTGTGTATGTGTATGTGTGTGTTTGTGTTTCCTGACCTTAATGAAGGTGTACACTCGACCTCTGAAGGTGAGGTCAAAGATGTTAAAGGGATAGTACGCCCAAAAATGAAAATCCTGTCATCATTTACTCATCCTCATGTCATGTCATGACTTTCCGTCTTTTGTGGAACACAGAATATTCAGATAAATGTCAGTTTTGTCCATACAGTGAAAGCCAGTGGAGTTCAGTGATGTTTTGAACCTAATGACTTTAATTTTATGGACAAAATATAAGAATAGTCATACAGGTTTAGAATGACATGTAGGTGAGCAAATGATGACAGAATTAGTGTTAATTTGAACTATGCCTTTAAAACCAAATACATTTCCAGCAATAAATATTTGTACTATTGCTGTCATTCACAAATATCTGCATATTCTCTCGCCCTTTCATTTTTAAATATTTTAGCAAATTTGATCATGCTTTTTAGTTCATTTAAATTGTAATAATATTTCACAATATTGCTATTTTTACTGTATTTTTCATCGAATAAATGCAGCCTTGGTGTGCGTAAGAGACTTCTTTCAAACACATTAAAAATAGTAATTATTCCAAACTTTTTACAAGTACTGTAATTTCAATATATGGTGAAATTAAAAGCATTAAAAGCATAAAAATACCGACCCCAAACTTACAGCAGTGTAGGAATTATTTTTTTTTTTTTTAAATATGGTCGCAAAATGGTTGACAATGAAAAAAAGTTTCTAAATGTAATCTAAATACATGCAAAACATTTCTGATCAAAGTGACATTTGGTGACATTACAAATTTGGTGACATGTAGGTGAGCAAATGTTTGAATGAAGGTTTCATTATTATTATTATTATTATTATTATGTAAACTATCCCTTTAAACCCAAATGCATTTCCAGCAATAAATATTTTTAGTCATGCCATAATTCACAAATTTTTGCATATTCTCCTGCCCTTTTATTTATTAAATATTTCAGCAAATTTGATAACGCTTTCAGCTTCCAATAAAAGTGTACAGTACTCTCAGCTCCCTTTATGTAATATATCATATTTGAAATATTATTATATTTCCATTTTGCAGATTTTACCCTCCAAAAAACTGCAGAAAGTGTGAAAAAAGCTGAACAGATTCTATCTGGGCCTGCTCATTATTCACCTTCTCTTATCATCTGTTTCTTATATATTAATTTAGGCAGCCAGAATGTAAGAACAAGAGACGAATATAGGAGGAAGGCTGGTATTAGGTCATTTAGTGTGGTTTGCATGTTGTGTAATTGAGTGTTTGATGTGTTTGTGTGTGTTTTCTGTACACAGCCCCCATAAGCACAGGAAGCTCTGGGTGGGCTATACGACCTAGTTTTTATTTTCACACAAACACATACTCTGAATATCATACATGGGCACAATGATGCTCATGGAATATACATGAATATGTATGCTGTTAAAGCATTGTTGTGTTGTTAATGAGATCACACTCCATCTAATGAAACCATGTGTGTGTGTGTGTGTGTGTGTGTGTTGTCTTTCGATGAGTTAATGAATGATGATGAGATTTCTGTGGCTCTGGGATGAGCTCCCCTTTGGGCTCTTATTATCATGAAGTTGTGTTACATCTCACACACAAAAAACAAGCGGATTTCCTGGTTAAAATGCAGTTTATATGCTATTGAAATTTTCTGCCCCCCCAAAAAATCTATCCTAAATCGTCACCCCCTTTACGCGCGCGCGCATGTGTGTGTACTGGCTGCATCCTGCATATCTTTGTTCGTGTCTTCATCAGATATGTGTTGAGATCAACTTGCGCTCTGACTTTTCTGGCTTTGCGCGACCCCGAAGCCCACCTGCGTCTGGAGAGTATTTTTAAAAGCAGGGTGCGAGCGCGTCGCGTGAAGCGCACCACTTCAAACGCTTCTAAAGCTCTTCAATTTTATCGGGTTATGCGCGTGGACACGTCGGGTTTTTGAGAACCAGGGATAAAAGACTGCACTCGTCTTTTGTCGGAGTTACCAGATCTTGGACTCTCACTCGGGCGGATAGAGAGACGGCTCTCCACCGGGATCTCCTCGCACCGCGACTGTACCTGGAGAATCCGGTAAGAGCTCACGCGGCTTCACAATAGAGCGAGGTCGTCCGGTTCTTTGGTCAAGTGTGTGTGTGTGTGTGTGTACGTGTGAGTGTGAGTGCTGTGAAATTAATTGAAAGACAAACTATTGCTAGGTAGTCAATTTAGAAATGTCCAGGATTTCATAGTGCTCTCACAGAACACGTCGTTATTCAGCCGTAAATGCAGACCGCTGTTAAATTGAATTATTTATTAGAGTTGTTAGCTCTGTCGAACATTTTAGGACAGGGTGAACTCATTAAAAGTCTTGAAGTTGATTGGTTTTCTTATAAACTTGCAATGACTGCGGGCTATTACAAACCACACTGTAAAAAAATTCAAAATATTGTCAGGAATAATGGGCTACAGTAAAACTGTCAGATACCTTGAAATACAGTAAAAAAAAAGAAAAAAAAAGTATTATATTTTAAAAGACAACACATGCCATTTTACATTGTATGTTTTTAGAAGTAGCCTAAAACGAATTAATTAATCAATTAATTTAATGTGCGAATAAAATATAGTAATATATATTATTACTATGTTATGGATTGCTATTGTTAAAATAAAGTTATTTCGGTAACACTTTTGTTTAGGGACCAGTTCTCACTATTAACTAGTTTCTTATTAGCATGCCTATTATTAACATATTGGCTGTTTATTAGAAGCCTGTTTATAAAGCACATATTCTGCATGACCATATTCTACATCCCTAATCCTACCTAACACCTAAACTCAACAACTAACTTACTAACTATTAATAAGCAGAAAATTAAGACTTTGTTGAGGCAAAAGTCATAGTTAATGATTTGTTAATAGCGAGAATTGGACCTTGAAATAAAATGTGACCTTTATTTCTTAAAAAAACAAGTATGAATCATCTCCTAATTAGGCCTAGTGAAAGGGGAATCCCCAGAATTGACAAAATCTCAATTTTAAATTATATTCTTATTTTTATTCACAGTTACAGTATGTACATTGGTGTGTTGTAAGTTACATTTTGTGTTGATTAGTTTATGTTCATAGTGTTATTTTAGTGTCATGTTTATTACTTTGATATGCAACAGTCACTGGAGAGACCATTTAAACTTATCCTTGGGTCACCATGTGACATTTATGCTAATTATCATTTATGCTAATAATAATTTATGCAATTATTACAGCTATAGATTTTGTCTAGATTTTAATAGCTGTCATATATTACTTCACTAATATTATACAGTTTAATGACATATAGTCACCAAAATGCGTGTTGTGAAACATTGTTGCTGTATTTTTACAGTGAAGTTCTGATCATTTTTACCCAGTAATTGTAAAAATGTATTGAACTGAATGACATTAAATAACTTTTATGCGTTATGCTTTATGTTAGTTTGGGACTCTTCGTGTCTGTGAATGTATATGAAGGCTCCTGAGTATTCTAGTGATTCTCTGAGAGACAAGAGGCTTGCATAAGCAGTTTTTTATTTCTGTTCAGCCCTGTCATATTTTGACATTTTCTCACAAGACTTGTGTAAAGTGCTGACTTCTTCCCGCTGCTCTAATGTGTACTGAAAAGACAGCCCAGTTTGAATATCCAAGTTCTCCCTTCCATAACTCAAGCACAGACGGCCACATTATATTTAAAAGTAAGAGTAAAATAAAATGGGAAACAGTGTGTTGGAATAGAAGCTCTATAGGCACTTTTTCTCCCATTTTAGCGCCTGTAGATTTAGTTGAAGTGAAAATGAAAGAGAGAAAGAGAGCTAGAAATGAGCTGTTTCTCCCTCGTGCTGTGAGGATGACTTAGTGTCTCTCACCTTCATCCTGACACCTCATCTATTATCATTAGGCACACAGTCAAACAACTCTCTCAAGATGTGGGTGTGAAAGTGTGTGTACGAATGTGAGAGAGAAGATGAGTGTGAAAAGAAGAGAGAAACAGGGAGAAAACTCTTAAAATCGAGTTCAGGATTGACAGGCCTGGTCACAGTCGTGACCTGCTCCATTTTCACTCAAACATATGCACGCCTCTTTTACAATGTGTGGTGGTTAGTGCATTGACTTGACATGACCCCTTGACCTGTCAGCCGGTTGATACCTGAATGATTTGACCTTCCCGTAGCAGTTCTGCAGTGTGATAGATTAGTGTTTACATTAATGACACCAAACTGAAAATGTGTCCCTTTTAATTTGTATTATTATCAAAAGTAATAATTTTTATTATTATTATTGTTTAAATTCATAATTTATTTCTGTGATGCAAAGCTGAACTTACTCCAGGCTTCTTAATATATTTGTGAAAACATTGCTAATTTATTTTCAGGATTATTTAATGAATATAAAGTTAAAAAGAACAGCATTTATTTAACAATCATTTGTAACACCATAAATGTCTTTACTGGCTATTTTGATTAATTTAATGCATTGTTAATGAATAAAAATATCAGTTTCTTTCTTTCTTTCTTTCTTTTGTTAAAAAAATTAATTGAAATAAATGAAATTTAAAAAAAAATACTTTTGAACATGCACATATGTTCCATGTTACAAATTGACCAAACGGACACATAACTTTTTATTTAAAAATAACTGAAAATATTATCTGCACATTTGTTTCACATTATTTTAATCCTTTTATAGCCCTAATTTATTTTATTTAAAGCCTAAGTTTCCGTTTTAGAGGTTTACCAAAGCAAAATCAAAATCTTTCCTAGTATTCTCTTGGGTATGCGTGGCCCTGGTTGGGAATCACTGCGTTACATCAGCTATGACAGAGCATCTGATATTGCCACAGTTCATGCAGACTGCATTTTTGATCTTTTGTATGGAAAACAGTTGCATGATAATGAAGTGTTGGTGTAATGCTGTCATTTTGGATGACTGTATTCATCTCACTCTTTTCTCTCTCTCTCTCTCTGTCTGTTTTCCAGATTGACTCAAATAGAACACAGAGGTAAGTGAGATCTTCATACTGGTATTTTTACAGCTTGGAAAAACTAACAAGCAGGGTGACAAGAGTGAGAATGAGAGGTGATACTTGAAATGCGGCACATGGCAGAGATCAATCTTTAAATTTACTGCACCAGAAACCCTTTTAATTATAAGATATATAAACAGCCACGAACTGAATCAGCACAGAACTGGAACGCCCGTCTACACTTAACGCGCCACTTGGGTGTTAGTTTATTAAAGGGGTCATATGATGCTATTTTAAAGATCATTATTTTGTGTATTTGGTGTAACAGAATATGTTGACATGCTTTAATGTTCAAAAAACACATTATTTTTCAAATACTGTACATTATTGTAGGTCCTCTATGCCCCGCCTCTCTCAAACGCGTCGTTTTCAACAAAGCCCCCTCCTTTGACAAGCACAGTCTGCTCTGATTGGCCAGCTGAACCAGTGCATTGTGATTGGCCGAACACAACAAGCACGCGTCGGAAATGTAACGCCCCTTACCATAAACGCGAGCTTCATCTTTCAAAATAAATGTAAAGTCTTAAAAGAAGATGGCGGCGCGTTCACGCGCTGCGGCTTCTCTCTGTCCCGACAGAAAGGTGTTTTCGTGTTTTTTGTCTTGTGAGTCGCAGTGTTTTTGTACGTATTCGTCGTGTTTATCTGTCTCTAAGCGCGCATACAGTCGTGAGTTTCTTCTCGATGTCGGCAGAACCACATTTTTAGAGTTAAACTCTGCGCACATATTTTGTGTAATTTGATAATGCTTTCAGCTATCAGTGAAAGTGTAGTACTATCAGCTCAGCTTCACATTTTACTATGTTTAAATTTCGTAAAATCAGCACAGGAGATGCAAAAACCCAGCAGATTCCTTCTGGGCCTGGCATGAACACAGTGGTATTCAGTTCAGCTGTTTCATCTTCTGTACTTGTCTATGAAGAATGCTCATCCAGAGCAGTTAAAAACATCAAAAGGCCACTTTTGCATCTTTTTTTTGTCTTAGATAGCCAGTAGTTAAGACTTGTCTTCTCTCATATTCAACACTCTAACGCTGTTTAGATGTTTTAATGTGCCTTTCTGTACAAGGCCATGCTGGAAGGCGCTGATGTCCACTGAGATCAATAAAACCTCCATTCAGTGAGGGGTGAAATGTCTTCTCTCTTTCTCACTAAACCCTTTCGGTCTCTCTCTCTCGCTCTCTCTCTCTCTCTCTCTCTCTCTCTCTCAAACACACACACACACACACACACACACACACAAAGGGCTGACTGTTGTAGGCTCTTCAGTCTATATACTGTCTGACTCAGGAAACAGACAATAATTGCACACTTTGCGTATTAGACTCTATAAAACACACACACACACACACACACACACACAAAGGGCTGACTGTTGTAGGCTCTTCAGTCTATATACTGTCTGACTCAGGAACACATATGAGCATGCACACTTTGCGTATTAGACTCTATAAAACATGTATTGCATAAACATGTTACGTCATAAATAAGCAGTGCTGCATTTTTGTTCCCACCACATTTCTCAGGTAATTTTACAAGCAGTTCGTGATCAATACTGTGGCCGGTGAAAGAAAGTGAACAGCACAACCTAGTGGCCACATGTTCTTAATGCATTCACACCCTTTTGCTCTTAAAACCCAAAATACACCCCATCTGGTCACAGCAATCTCACACTTGAGTGTGATCATTTATGTTCCTCATTTAAAAATAGATCCAATCCAGATGTTTGAAAATGATACAGCATACAGTGGGGTCCAAAACTCTGAGACTACAGCGAAATGTTTCTTTTTTTTTTTGCCTAAAATGACATTTTCTGCATTATTTCTAGGTCACTAATCAAATGTAAACAAATTTGTTCCAAAGGCCAGATGTTCTTGCTTCCATCGAAGCACATAAGATGCTCAGTGGAACATTCTCAAATGCTGGATAACTTTATTTATTTATTTATTTTGCTAGTGGACTTTTGGGCCCCCTGTACATATGCACACACATTAAAAATTCACACTGTTCAAAAGTTTGGGGTCAGCAAGATGTTTTAAAGTTTTTTAAATAAATCTCTCATGTTCACTAAGGCTGGATTTATGTGATCAAATACAGTGAAAACGGTAGAGAACAGTGAAATATTATTACAATTTGAAAGAACTGTTTTATATTTTAATATATTTTAAAATGTAATTTATTTTTGTGATGCTGAAAACAGTTGTGCTACTTAAAGCATGACACATGTGTTTCAGGATTTTTTATAAATATAGAAAGAACAGCATTTATTTGATTTTTTTTTAGGAACATTATACATTTCTTTACTGTAAATTTTTGTCAAATACGTGTGTCCTTGGCTCTTGCTGAATAAAATAAAATTAAAAATTTCTTTCAATAAATAAATACAATAAAATAAAACAAAACAAAATAAAAACTTACTGACCCAAACTTTTGAACAGTAATGTATATATACTGAATATATGACCATTTTCTGTCATGCAGAGTACTAAAAGTCTAATAGTAGACATAATTTCATTTCATCTTACTAAAGTTACACACTCACAGTAAGACCTTCATATTCAGACAGATGTCTGTTGATCTCAGAGCATTAGTGGTAGAATACCTGAATCAGCTGTTTCCAAACTAGACCGAAAAACAGTCAAATCCCAACTGATGCTTTCAGTGAGTGTGTGGATGTTTGAGAGAGAAGGATTTAAAAGGGCTGTGTGTGTGTGTGTGTGTGTGTGCGCGCGCGTGCGTTTTGTGATTTATGAGGACACAAATTTGTATAATGACATGGGTATGACATAGGTATTACAACGAGAAGGTGATTTATGAGGACATTTTGAGTGTCCCCGTATTTCAAAAGGCTTATAAATCATTCAGAATGAGTTTTTTTGAAAATCTAAAAATGCAGAAAGTTTCCTGTAAGGGGTAGGTTTAGGTGTAGGGTTGGTATAGGGCGATAGAAAATACGGTTTGTACAGTATAAAAACCATTACGCATATGGAATGTCCCCACAATTCACAAAAACAAACCTGTGTGTGTGTGTGTGTGTGTGTGTGTGTGTGTTTAATGAGTTTTTCATCTTTCAGGAGAGTCCTGTGGAGTCTGTCCTTCTTTCCTCCCAGCGAGAGACAGCTGAGTTTAGACTCCGTTTAAACTCATATTAGCACATGTAAGTTGTTTGCATTCACACACATTCACACACACTGGCTCTGTCCAAAACCCAATGAGCCTAGCTAACTACATTCTAGGGAAGCATGCCAAGTCATAAGTGGCTGATTTGGAACACTTTACATTGCATGGGCAGCAGCAGCTTGTGACAAACACAGGTGACTCCAACAACAATTGTTTTATATATTTAGAAAGTTAGCCTGTTGCTAAGCTAACAACAAATAAAATAAAATTCACTCAAGTAAAATGATCCAGTTGTAAAGCTAAAGTGTCTAATTGTCTGAACAAACTGCCATTGGTCAGTCAAACAATTTTTTTTTTTTAAAGAAACCCATACGGAAATGTAATATATAACATATATTGCCCTATATCAGGAGTGATATTGCCATATAAGACCATATATAATTCACATACATACATTCTCTGGGAAAATGAACAGTTTATAACATACTGTATATAACATCCTCATAGTAAAACTGAACATGACATATATGTCCAAAAATATATTAAACATACATATTTGTATGGACATATATGTTAATATATGAAATTGTTCCAATAGGTCCAATTCCTAATGACAATATATTTCATATATGGAAATTTTATATTTGTACATATGTTACATTTGCGTATGGGAATTAATACTTTTATTCAGCAAAGATGTATTAAATTGATCAAAAGTGACGGGGAAGACATTTATAATCTAATAAAAGATTTCTATTTCAAATAAATGCTGTTTATTTGAACTTTCCGTACATCAAAGAACCCTGAAAAATTTGTATCACAAAAATACAACTGTTTTCAACATTTATAAAAGTAAGACATGAGATAAGCACCACATGATCGTATTATTGATCATGTGACACTGAAGACTGGGGTAATGATGCTGAAAATGTAGCTTTGCATCACAGGAATAAATTACATTTTAAAATATATTTAAATATATTTCACAATATTACTGTATGTTAAAATAAATGTAGCTTATAGTCAACATTTCCCTCATTTCATCGACCAGCCTAGATGTCGTTTTCACCGTGGAGGCTTACATGCTTTACAATTTGGTCTAAACTAGGAATATCAGAAGGGGCACAGTCATGCTGCCTACTTTGTGGAACAGCCGTCGCATGTGAAGATGTCTTAAAATGCAGCCTCAGTAGTCAGCTCACTAGGATTTGGAACAGAGCCACTCTTTGACTGAAAAGAGTCACAAATACAAATGCCTCTCTGTATTCCCCACACCCCTGTTTCCCTCTTCCTGTGTTCTCACACAGTTGGTCCTGAAGTAGCTCTCTGACCAGCTTCTGTCAAGCCTCGCAGCAAATACCGCGCACATGAATTCTGTATATGACCATAAAACCTCAGCGGATTTAGCGCGTTAGAGTGCGTGTGTGTGTGTGTGTTTTATAGTGCATACACTGCTGCATTATTGAGAGCTACTCACAGATGCATCCAACTCTTTCTGACACTGACGATGTAATCCACTAAAAATACATACTTACCTCATCTCTCACTCTCTGTCTCTCCCTCTTCCTCTGTCGGTTTTCTAACTCACTCTTTCTGTCTCTATCTCTTTCAATCTCTTCCTCTCACTCCCTCTCTTTCCATATATTTTCTTTCGCTCTTTGATTCACTCCTTATGTCTTCTTTCTCATGTGTGTGTGTGTGTGTGTCTGCATCTGTCTGTTTTAATGTGCTAAACTGGAGCTGCATTAGATGCATTCGATCGTTTTCCCCCTCTCCTCTCAGGCGCTCAATAACTATCCCTTTCTTTTTCTCACTCTCCTTTCTCTCCATCTCTTTATTAGAGGTGGTACTTATGAATCTGGTAGTGCATTAAAGTGATAGATGAAGATAGTATATTTCACATAGCTCATCTATAAATAGAAGGTGCAAATAAACCATAGGAGAAAGCAGACACAGCAGGGGCCATCCTCCTGTGTTTGGCACAACTTTTGCTGTTGATTTTAAGGCATTATTTCATGCTGTGAGACTGCTGCTGCCCTCCTCTGGAAGCTGATGTTGTAACATTTTAAAACTTGAAAGATATGATAATACTGTATGTTCTTCTTTTTGTCTCATATCAGCTTCCGTAACTCTGACCAGCAGCATGTGGGACACTAACAGGTAAGAACACCTTGATGCATTTATCAAGTGCACTTTATAACCTCAAGCTCAATCCAACACCAGTTATTCCAGTCCTGGTTTGCAGTTGGCTGTTCTGTATTATAGAAATCATACATGTAATATATCCAACCATTCCTGCCTCAGCCAGTTTTGTGCTTGATTTAATGGAAGGAAGTGGAACAGTTCTGCCATGTTGTGTCTAAAGGTGAACTTGACTGGCTAGATAATTTCCCCCCTTAGGAGTAGGCCTAAATAGCAATTTCCAGATAATTCCATTAAATGCACCCCAAAAGTCTGGTGGAGCAAGACAAATGCCAGTTAGTTGCAGAGATTTGACTTGAAAAGTAATGCACATGCTCTGATATTGTGCATGGGTGAGAAATTGTATAATATTTTATTATAATATTATAAATTATTATATTGTAATATATTATAATCTATTACATTATATTATAATTATTAATATAATATTGATAAATTTTCTTTAAGGACACTTTGATGAATAGAAAGTTCAAACAGAAAGTAGAAAAGAACACTATTTATTTGAAATAGGAAACTTTTGTTAGGTTATAAATGTCTTTATTGACACTTTTGATCAATTTATTGCATCTTTGCTGAGTAAAAGTATTAATATTTTGTTATAATATAAATTATTATTATATTATATATTATTTTTTTCCAGGGTCACAAATGTATAGTGTCTTTGCATTAAATATAAAACCACGTAACATTTATTTTAAAGAAATATATTACAAACACACAATTCAATCAATACATTTCAAATAAAAAAGAGATATATCGTTTAAAATGAAGGTTAGCAAGTCGTGCACACATTCTGGTTGTAAAACAGTGTGGAACATGTTTATACTGTGTAGTTTAATATGAAATGTTCTGAGAAAAAGCATTATTTATTTGCAGATGCAACTTGGTTTGATATTTTGTATCGAATGCAATGAAATTCAGCTATTAAATGGACAGAAAATATGATAAATGTGTACATGCAATCACTCAATCACAGAGATAGAGAGAGTGGGTTTTTAGATGTGCAATAGTGTGGATATAATTAAAATATCTGATTATGGTCACTTCAGTTGAACATACTGTAAGAATAGATTAGCTTCACACATAGATGAATTGTGACTAACGTCTCAGGTTACTTATGTAACCATGGTTCCCTGAGTAGGGAACGAGACACTGCGTCCTCGTCTCTCCCGCCGCCGATGAGCGTGAGAGGGAAAGCCCCTCCTTAAACCCATCGGCCAGGTCCACCTGCGAACCCCACAAGCTCATTCTCATTCTCGCGGGAAGCAGATGGCTGCCCCTCTTTACTTGAAAATAGAGACAAACGAGAACGGAGCTTTTTTATTGGAAAACGCTCGCAATGCACGCAGATTGCCCCCTCGAGGACATCGCGTGCGTCAATGAAGACGAAGAAGAGAATGATGTGTGCTCCCGGCGCCTATTTATACTATAGTCGCACCGGTAGTGACGTCATGGCTGTCGCCGGCCAACGAGTTGGTGTTTTTTCAATGTATGCTTCAGACACGGGTCACAACGAGGCGTTTCCCATAGCGACCCCTAGAGGATGCAGTTCGAAGTTCCCATGAAAGGGAACAGCTCTTTGCGTGCATGTGTGTTTCTTTTGCAAGTCTGTTCAGTTAGTTGTTTTTTAGTTGAATTAAATGTAGATGGGTTCATGTACAGTACAGCAGGAAGTCAGCTGAAGTTGATCGGTGTATGAGAATGTCTTTTACACTTAATTCAGCTGACAAAAAAATAGACACTGGCCATGCGATCACAATAATGCCCTCTGTGTGTGTGTTTGTGTGCACGAGTTTGTGTGTTAGAGGGAGATAGGAAGGATGAATATCTGGGGGATGGGTTGGGTTGTGTTTTTCTATTTCTTTCTCACGTGCTCACACTCACACAAGAAATCAGATTAGTGTGAGGATTACAGAGCACCAACCATTTGAAAGAAAACACGCGCACAGAAATCGCATGAGCTTCAGTGACGGAGAATGCTGAATAATCTTTAATCAACAGTTCACCGAAGGATACACATCACAGATGATAGAAGTTTCTGTTACTCCTTCTTCTCTTTCATTTTCAAAGGCCAGATCGAGAGTAATTAAATGTCAGCACTCTGATGTTGTGTGTGTGTGTGTGTGTGTGTGTGAGTGCATGTGTTTGGTATCTTGCTGTGTGTTAATTTGGTGCAAAATGTCGAGTGTCTCCTGCTCTTACGCTGACATTCTGATTAAGAGCATCAAATACCTCCATCTATCCACCAACATACTGAAAAATGTTTTATTTGTATGATGCATTATACATGCAAGCTTACATTTGTATGGTCGATTAATGATGTTTCCAGAAATAACTCTTCGTTATGTGTGTGCGAGTGTTTATGTGAGGGCTGCCGGGTCTGTGGTTACCTGAGCACTTTCTGCAACTAAAGCAAATTAATGCCTTCATTTACATATCTCTCTGGGAACTGGGGTACTGATGATGCATACATCTTTGTGACTGTGAACTGTGTGTGTGTGTGTGTGTGTGTGAGAGAGAGAAAGACAGTGAGCATGAGAGAGAAACAAATTTCATTCTGCATTTATTTTGTGTATTGTTCAAATTCAGCCCACTAGAAAAAATAGCACCTCAATTTGCATATAATTGAATTCTGCTGCAATAAACAGTTAATTAAAATAGTTCATCATAAGTGTCCCTATATTTCTCGCTTCCTGAGATGCTAAAATTAAAAAATAATAAAAAAACAAGAAATATTTTAGCATGTAGACTTTTTATTGTGTTTTGTACAATAGACAATCAATATGTATTTTTTTTTAACAATTATTAAACACATATTTGCAATACAACTTGCCATTCGTAGGTTGAAATAATCTTTCACTGTTTGTTTGATCATTCTGAGAAATCCAACACTCACCAATGGTTGAAAACAGTGATTATTTTTGCAATTCCTTTTGATGATGCATACATTCCACTCTTCACCTTTAAAGTATTTCATTCATGTTAATCAGCATATAATTATATAATTATAATGTCATCATATTTTTATATATTTATTAGTATACTATATTTTATATTTATTTATTTTACATTTTTTAAAATGAAATTAATCATTCTCCTAAAAGCTGTTTAATATGAGGATCCATTGTGACATCTTACCCCATATAGACAGCACTCCCTGCTTCTTTATTTATTTATTTTAATATGTGAATGAAATTCACTTTTAAAAATAAAGTTAACCTAAGAAATATTCATTGGAGTAAAAAGTGTGGCAACTTACCCCAGTCTCCCAATTAAAATGATTAGACTATATCTAATCATTATTGTACCACACATTAATATTGTCAAATGCGATTTTAAACCGTGTCATGCATGGTCTCAGAACCACAAGCAAAAAAAAAAAAAAAAAACTATTTAGGATGTTAAAGATGAAGATATAGGGACCCTGAACTGTCGCTATACAAACTGTCAAATTTCACTGGCCTAGTTTCTGGACGTTTACCTTTAGTTTCTCCGATGTGCAAATGCAATGTCTCCAAATTATTTATTTTCCCTGAACCGGAGATTCATTCCGGGGCACCTGACGTCACTCCGCCGCCGCTCTGTCCTGCCTCGAGCCCGTCCCCTCATATATTCCGCTGCGCGTGAGTGTGTGCGCGAGCGCTTCTGCATGCACACACAGCATCAGCATCATCAAAGAGAAAGACCTGCGAGCTCTTTACGAGCGCTGGAAACACGCAGTGCTTCTGCTGCTCTTGTGCTTTTTATAGTGCAGCCCAGCATCGGTGATCATCAGAAGGGAGAGGACGGGCTTCTGGATTATATCTCTGGTGCTTATAGATGAATTCACAGGCGGTACCGAGCCGGTGAGACCCGATTGTAAACCTGAACCAGACAGCGATGTTGATCAGGTAGGCGAGGAGTAAAAGCCTCATCCGCTCCCCGGTTATTGTAGAGGAAATGACAAAATAATTTCATTGTTATGTTCAGTCATCCACTCGAGCTACAATTGCATGTGAATCGATGGGAAATCCGTTATTGTACATCATAGGCAGGCTAATACAGAAGACTATATTGCATGCACATTCCCACTTTTTGGCTGCTGTTTTGCTAGCATATTAACATGTTTTTGATAAGGAGCATTGCATCATGTTCTTAATATTACTATTTGTCACATTCTTGCTATATATATATATATACTGTGTGTGTGTGTGTGTATATATATATATATATATATATATATATATATATATATATAGTGTGTGTGTGTGTGTATATATATATATATATATATATATATATATATATATATAGTAGGCATTTGCAATTGCTTTATTGTCTGAATTGACATGGATTTTTGTTGTGGTTTCCTCACTACTGCCTTTTAGATCATTCAGTGATGTTCAGGGAACCCAGTGCTCCAGGGCATTATGCTGAGCTTAAAGTATTACTGTTTATGACAGAATGTTCTCCACAGATCATTAAAAACATATTCTTAATGGACCAATAAACTGAATGACTCTACATCTGAGCAAAGTTCACATGGAAGGGGATTATGTGTGATGACTTTTGCTATACCTCCTAATGCTCTTAGTGTGTGTGAGAGACAGAAGGGGGAGGGAAGGAAAAGCGAGGGGTATTATGATGTTTGGGTATTAAGGTTTGCATATGCAAGAGAACAAATTTGGAGGAACGGAGAGGAGAGTTTGGCGGTTGGTCTGAGCGAAGTGGTAAGTGTTTGACCCGCAATACCTAGAGCTGTGAGAAAATGACAGATGGATGAAGAGAGAGAGAGAGAGTGATTTTCTTAAGTTTTGAATAATTTATTTCTTTTCCATACCTGCAGACTAAGGGTTGCTCGGAGCACACTTGAAAACCTGCACTATTTAAAAAGCAGGTTGCCTCAGCTTCAGCGGCATATGGTTTATATTAATAATGTAGACATCACAGAGGCACAATCCTTGTGCTTATTGCACAGA